AGCAGGTTCAGGAGCTTCCTGTCCTGAGGTCTAACCTACTGACTGATGATGTAATGATCACGAGAACAGGTCGTCCCGTCAGTAGTTCTGTACCTGTGGTTACCTGGGTTACCTGTAGGTACCTGTGGGTACCCGTGGTTTCCTGTGGGTACCCGTGGTTACCCGTGGGTACCCGTGGTTACCCGTGGGTACCTGCATTTCCTGTGTTACCCGTGTGTACCCGTGGTTTCCTGTGGGTACCCTGCGTTTCCTGCGGCTACCTGTGTTTTTAACTGTGTTACCTGTGTGTGTCCTCAGACTGGAGCACCTGACCCTGCTGAGAGGACTCATCATCCTTGAGGAGTTCTGTAAGGAGCTGGCTGCCATCGCCTTCGTCAAACTGCCCCTGGACCAGGAGTGACCCACCTGGACCACCTGGGACAGGTACACGTTTAGGTACGCCTGGTTCATGTGATCTCCACCCTGAGGACACACTGAAGCAGAGACAGATACACCTGAGTACCTGGGGACAGGTACACCTGTATGACCTGGAGCAGGTACAGCTGGTCCACCTGGACTCTCAGAACCCTCTGACCCCCTTCAGAACCTTCACCGGAACATTTTAACCTTGGGACGTTGGGTCAGACCCTGATTGAAGCCTGTTTGACTGCAGGGTTTCTGAGGCGACCCTGAACGTCTCATCGTCTGTGCCTTAATGAACCGTCTCACTGACCCTCTACAGTGACATCACAGTGACATCACACCACAGTTTGAGTTATTTATAGTTTCAGTTTACTGTAACCAATCAGGAAAGACGACACCAGTGAAGAAGACAGAAACTCAGTGAGGGGAAGGAAGGTCAGACGCCACAGATGGACTTCGGCAGGACCGAGATCTGAGTCCAGGTCCCAGTTCAGGTCCCTGTCAGACCTGCAGGAGGTCTGAGACCACGGCTGGGTTAAAGCACACTCCAACGTACTGCCTACTACATAGTACTAGAGCCCGACCGATATGGGTTTTTGGGGCCCGATGCCGATATTGAAGTGAAAAAGAGCCAATTTATGAGCTGATATTTAGATTTAGAGAATGATTTGGACAGCAGACCCCTTTACTGCATAAACTACACTTAGAACAGGCCGATACTGAAAGCTGGTGTGTATGTGGGCTATAAAACCTTTTCCTAAAGGGATTAGGTTAATAAAATAGTTTACAGTCTCAAACAGTGAACATTAAACAATTCACATCAATAAATATTTGTTGCTGGGAGGTGCAACTTTTTCAGCGAATAAACGTGTTTCACTGAACACATAATCTGCCACATTAGCACATCCAGCTCATCTCTTCACTCTTTGATTCTAACCAAAGCTACGAGAGACCGTTTAACCTCCGTCGGTATGAATCATGGCGTCTAGGATCCAGTGAGCTGCTGCTGAATGCATCTGATACAACACGACTCTCTACAACGAGGACCTGCAGCTTTGAGATTTCATTTAACGTTATAACCACAACCAGCGCCGCTCCGACAGCATTTCACATCTACGTCACACAAAGAGCCTGAGCTACAGGAAGCCGTGTTCGATTCAGCTCACATGTTTTTACATGTCCGCTCTGCTTTAATCATTTCAGACACGCAGACTAACTGCAGACAGGCGGCTGCAGAGATATTTAGAATACGTCTGAAACTATAGTTTAACGGCTCATTACTGTTGGCGCTCCTCCACTGATAAACACGCCGTTAGCTTTGTGGCTAATTTAGCAACGGGCAGTGTTAGCTGCTGTAACGTTACGTGATGTTAGAGAATATTTAGAAGTGATGAACTAGAGACAAATGAGAGGAGCGTTCACTAAAACAGCCTCACTGTTTGAAATAAATCTACAGTTACGTCTGTCAGCAGCTTCCAGCAGCCAGCTAGCGAAGCATCAACCTGCTGTGAGCTGCTGGGAGGAACAACGGGAGGGTCAGCAAGTCACGAATGTTTTTATTATAATCATTAAAGTCGTGTAATTAACGTGACTCGCCGCTCACACAGCCCTCTGCTGTTTCTACACGCTGCCTTCTGTGGTTTTTGTGGTCCAGCAGTGTTGTTAACAGGAGAGCTGCAGCTGGTCGCCCTCTGGTGGGCAAAGTATGCAACACCTGAGTGAAGGATCCGACTCTAGGTTTCTTTTTTAATAGTCATATATCGGCCAATAATATCGGTCGGGCTCTACATAGTACTGCCTACTACTTACTGCATACTCAGTATGTACTGCGTACTGCATACTCAGTATGTACTACTTACTGCATACTCAGTATGTACTGCGTACTGCATACTCAGTATGTACTGCGTACTGCATACTCAGTATGTACTACTTACTGCATACTCAGTATGTACTGCGTACTGCATACTCCGTATGTACTACTACGAGTATTTCCTCCACGTACTCTGCAGCTGGACGCAGTACACAGTGCTGGTCAGGTGACCTGCCTGGTGGATGTGATGACCTCTGACCTGTGACATCATCAGGACTGACCGTCTGTCCATCAGTGAAGCTTTGTCAGCAGCTGTGGTCAGAAACACTGAGTTGTGATTGTGAAACCAAACATGAACTACGTTTTATTTCTGACTTTTACTTTGATCAAGTTCAAAAGAAAATCTTCCATTAAAGTCTGTTTGTACTGAAACGTTTTGATCGTCTTGTGTTTTTAAAGTTGAGCCTTTTACTTCCTTTGATTCATGATGGCGTTTGTTCTGAGGAGAGTGCTGTCATCAGTTCATCTGTTCTTTCAAAGCTTCACCAGCAAAATGTTCCACAAATACTAACACAGAGCTCCTCCTTCTGCTCCTTCTGTTGCTCCTCCTGCTGCTCCTCCTGCTCCTGCTCCTCCTGCTGCTCCTCCTCCTCCTGCTGCTCCTGCTCCTCCTCCTCCTCCTCCTCCTGCTGCTGCTCCTGCTGCTGCTCCTGCTGTTGCTCCTCCTCCTCCTGCTGCTCCTGCTGTTGCTCCTCCTCCTGCTGCTCCTGCTGCTGCTCCTCCTCCTGCTGCTCCAGCTGCTCCTCCTGCTCCTGTAAATCTTATCGGTTTAAATCTGATTGGTTAGTTTCTGATTGGTTTAAATCTTATCGGTTTAAATCTGATTGGTTAGTTTCTGATTGGTTTAAATGTGATTGGTTAGTTTCTGATTGGTTAGCTTCTGATTGGTTTAAATCTGATTGGTTAGTTTCTGATTGGTTAGTTTCTGATTGGTTTAAATCTTATCGGTTTAAATCTGATTGGTTAGTTTCTGATTGGTTAGTTTCTGATTGGTTTAAATGTGATTGGTTAGTTTCTGATGGTTTAAATCTTATCGGTTTAAATCTGATTGGTTAGTTTCTGATTGGTTTAAATGTGATTGGTTAGTTTCTGATGGTTTAAATCTTATCGGTTTAAATCTGATTGGTTAGTTTCTGATCGGTTTCAGACATTTTCTCATTTATTTCTTCTGTCAGTTTTCTTATCGATCCTCCTACCAACAGTTTGCAGGTCAGGAAACTGGGGTTTACAGTAAATTCCTTCTGACTTGAAGGCAGCACGCTGCGGTGATGAGCTCAGCTCACTGATTGGCTGTCCTGAAAGATGGGAGAGATGTGATTGGTTGAGTGTGAAGACTGGCGCTGCCTCCTGAGAGTCACTAATCAATAAATGATGTGGAGCTGGAGGTTCCCTGGTGGCGCCTCCTGCTGCCCCCCCCCCTCCTCCCCTCCTCTCCCTCCTTCACGTGTCAAACTGCTGCAGGTAAACACCAACACACCGGAAGTCGGGCCTGTACCCTTCACAATAAAAGAGATGAGTAACAGGGAACCTCAGTGGGTTCTCCAGAAACCTTCACCGGAGCTGTGGCCCCGAGCCGCTGGGGGGGGCCTCTGTCTGAAGACCTGCGAGCTGGTCCCTGGGTCCACATCCTGCTTTTAAACGCTCTAATATCCTCTGTGGGGTTCATCAATGGGGATAAATGATTGGAAGGATATATTTTATGAAGGCTTGTTAACATGTTATTACGCTCAGCAGAACCGTCTGATCAGCGTGCAGAGCAAAGGATCTGAGAAGCAGAACAGCTGATGAAGGCTTCCTGCCCAGATCTGCATCCACCTCTTTTCTCTGCACAAATGAGCGCCATCAGGAAATTCTCAGCACAACCGGCCCAGACGCCGACAGCAGAAACAGCTGATCAGTCGTGAGTTCACTAGTCAGAACTGATTCTCCCAGAAGAAGAGAAGCTCGGTTGTCATGAACCGACCAATCGCAGCCTGGATGGGGCGGGACATTTTAAAGTGTTGACAGACAGGTGTCTTTTACGCTGGGGACGCTGGGGACAGGTCAGAATGTCTCCATCTATTTTTGAAAGCTTTTGTTAAAAATGTTCAGAAAAACAGCAATAAGAAATGTTGAATAACACATGAAACAAGAAGAAACAGATGTGCGTCGTCCAAAAGCTGATTACTGCATTAGATTCATTATATTTTTATGTTTTGAGCTGTCACCCTAACTTGAATAAAGAATGCAGGAAATGAAGTGTCTCCTGTTGTGTGAAGCGTAACTGTAGAAAAATGGCTTCATATAATAATAATAATAATAATAATAATAATAATAGCCTTATTATTATTATTATTATATTATTATTATAGCCTAATAATAATAATAGCCTTATTATTATTATTATTATTATTATTATTATTATAGCCTAATAATAATAATAGCCTTATTATTATATTATTATTATTATTATTATTATAGCCTAATAATAATAATAGCCTTATTATTATTATCATTATTATTATTATTATATAGCCTAATAATAATAATAATAGCCTTATTGTTATTATTATGAGACACTGTCTCAGGCAGCCCCAGGCCTAATGCTTGCAGCTATTAATGATTCAGCAGGAAGATTCAGAGTTTGAGCTGTGGACCCAGACTCTTGGTTCTAATCCAGGAGAACCGGCTCTGGTTTTAAACTCACGTTATTTAAGGGCTTTTATTGTGAAGGTGCGTTCCGGATGTGTGCGGGGTGTTGCGGGCTGGTCACTCTGCACAGGAGGAAGAGGAGAGCGGAGCTGAAGGTCACAGCATCAGCATCATTAAAGACATTTCTGTCACATCTCTCTCACTGATCATCGATCAGCTGATCGGATTCATCAGCTGCACGCGGAGCAGCGCGTCATGAGGTGAGCCCGGATCAGCTGCTGCAACCGGCCCGTCTGCCCGCTCCTCCACCAGCAGCCTCCAGCTCCTCCACCCGTCTCTCTCCCCGATCCACCTGTCTGTCTCCCCGCCCGTCTCTCCGCCATGGGGAACCGGGGCATGGAGGAGCTCATCCCGCTGGTGAACCGGCTCCAGGACGCCTTCGCCTCCATCGGCCAGAACTCGAGCCTGGACCTGCCGCAGATCGCGGTGGTGGGCGGGCAGAGCGCCGGGAAGAGCTCGGTGCTGGAGAACTTCGTGGGCAAGTAAGTCTATCTGTCCGAACCGAACCGAGTCGGGTCGTGACTCCTGACCCCCCTGTCAGAGCGAGCCGCCCGGCTGCCTGCAGGCCGGCTGACCCGCTGAACATGAAGTGGTTCTGAATAATAAACAGGATCTAGATACGGAGCTGCAGTCAGGCTTCAGGACATGAGTTCTGCTCACATTTCAACCTGGTGTGGTTTCATTATATATTTAAATTATACATTTAATATATTTAAAATATATTTAACAAATATAAAATGTACATAATGTACAATATGTATATAACATGTAAACACAGCACTGTGTGAAGGTTCCTGCTGTAAAGTCCGAAGACTTCCACAAACACGTTCATAGATTACACTGATCAATAACAAAATGTAAAGAGAGTGAAAAGTCAGATCAGGATCTGGTGTGACCCCCTTTGCCTTTAGGTCTTCTAGGTCCACCTGCTCATAGTTTCTGAAGGAGTTCTGCAGGTGGGTCGGTCCAGACCTCCTGGAGACTCCCCACAGTCCTCCTGTGGAGTCAGGCAGCCTCAGCTGCTTCTCTCTCCTCCTGTAGACACACTAGATGATGTTGATGGGGGCCATGTGGGGGCCACACAGGGCCCTGTGGGGGCCGATCAGATGTTGGAGTCCTCCAGCAGCTCTTGATGAAAACGTTGCCTTCAGGAGTTATTGTGACAGCTAGCCCCGTGTTTCGCCTTCCAGGCGTCATGTGGTCGTCCTGCCTACATGTCAGCTGTTGTGACTGTAAATCAGAGGCTGCGGCCGTAACAGCGGGAGCTTGTGGCTGAAGCGAACTTTAACCGCACTGATCATATAAAGGGCTGAACCCTGAGGATGTGGACGTAGGCGGCCGGGTGCTAAATGTTGGACACAGCTGTAACAGGTTACTCTCATTGGTGATTCATCGATTGGTCGTTTGGTTCAGTTTCCCAGAGCCCGGGCTGGCGTCCTCTGATGTCTTGTTTTAACTCAAAGATCTGCAGTTTCCTGTCTCAGAGGAGCAAAGACAGCAGAACATCTGAGAAGCTGAAATCTAAAAAAACTGACTCAAACCGGTCAATCGATTTTCCAGATAGTTGGTGATGAAGTTAACATCTAATCGCTCATTTGATGAATCGTTGCAGCTCTGGTTATTACAGATCATGTGAAGGAAATGAAGACATTATGATGCAGATGCTGTCTGTAGTGTTTGAATATTATTATGATGAAGGTGAACAGAAGCTGTTGCTGATCGCTTCCTGTGCAGAAGATATCGAGCCATTTTCTTCCGTCTCTGAGGTCTGTAGTTCTTATTTTTGCTGTGATCTGATTGGCTGATTTTTATCTTCCTCCTCACTCCGAGGATGAGGAGCGTCATCGGTATCTCTTCTCTCATTGGTCACAGTTGGTCAGATGACTCGGCAGGGTGAATAACAGGGTGATGTGTGTGTGTGACTGCAGGGGAATCACACTCACACACTCAGAGGATGTCGTGACGATGTTTCTGCTCAAGCTGCCCTCACTGAAGGATTCACATCAAATAAAATCACATTAAAATATAACGTCATTTACATTCACTCATGCTGCGACGCTTTTATCATAGAGACATGGAGCGACACGCAAGAACCAACACACAGCACCAATAAAGCACCAACACAGCACCAATAAAGCACCAACACAGCACCAATAAAGCACCAACACAGCACCAACACAGCACCAATAAAGCACCAACACAGCACCAATAAAGCACCAACACAGCACCAATAAAGCACCAACACAGCACCAATAAAGCACCAACACAGCACCAATACAGCACCAACACAGCACCAATAAAGCACCAGCACAGCACCAATAAAGCACCAATAAAGCACCAACACAGCACCAATAAAGCACCAACACAGCACCAATAAAGCACCAACACAGCACCTATAAAGCACCAACACTGCACCAATAAAGCACCAACACAGCACCAACACTTCACCAACACTGCACCAATAAAGCACCAACACTGCACCAATAAAGCACCAACACAGCACCAACACTTCACCAATAAAGCACCAACACTGCACCAATAAAGCACCAACACAGCACCAACACTTCACCAATAAAGCACCTACACAGCACCAATAAAGCACCAACACAGCACCAATAAAGCACCAATAAAGCACCAACACAGCACCAATAAAGCACCAACACAGCACCAATAAAGCACCAATAAAGCACCAACATAGCACCAATAAAGCACCAACACAGCACCAATAAAGCACCAACACTGCACCAATAAAGCACCAACACTTCACCAATAAAGCACCTACACAGCACCAATAAAGCACCAACACAGCACCAATAAAGCACCAACACAGCACCAATACAGCACCAACACAGCACCAATAAAGCACCAACACAGCACCAATAAAGCACCAACACAGCACCTATAAAGCACCAACACTGCACCAATAAAGCACCAACACAGCACCAACACTTCACCAACACTGCACCAATAAAGCACCAACACTGCACCAATAAAGCACCAACACAGCACCAACACTTCACCAATAAAGCACCAACACTGCACCAATAAAGCACCAACACAGCACCAACACTTCACCAATAAAGCACCTACACAGCACCAATAAAGCACCAACACAGCACCAATAAAGCACCAATAAAGCACCAACACAGCACCAATAAAGCACCAACACAGCACCAATAAAGCACCAATAAAGCACCAACATAGCACCAATAAAGCACCAACACAGCACCAATAAAGCACCAACACAGCACCAATAAAGCACCAACACTGCACCAATAAAGCACCAACACTTCACCAATAAAGCACCAACACAGCACCAATAAAGCACCAACACAGCACCAACACTTCACCAATAAAGCACCTACACAGCACCAATAAAGCACCAACACAGCACCAATAAAGCACCAACACTGCACCAATAAAGCACCAACAAAGCACCAACACTGCACCAATAAAGCACCAACACTGCACCAATAAAGCACCAACACAGCACCAACACTTCACCAATAAAGCACCAACACTGCACCAATAAAGCACCAACACAGCACCAACACTTCACCAATAAAGCACCTACACAGCACCAATAAAGCACCAACACAGCACCAACACTGCACCAATAAAGCACCAACAAAGCACCAACACTGCACCAATAAAGCACCAACACTGCACCAATAAAGCACCAACACAGCACCAACACTGCACCAATAAAGCACCAACACTGCACCAATAAAGCACCAACACAGCACCAACACTTCACCAATAAAGCACCTACACAGCACCAATAAAGCACCAACACAGCACCAACACTGCACCAATAAAGCACCAACACAGCACCAACACAGCACCAACACTTCACCTACACTACACAAACACTGCACCAACACTGCACCAACACTTCACCTACACTACACGAACACTGCACCAACACTGCACCAACACAGCACCGACACATCACCGACACATCACCGACACTTCACCTACACTGCACCAACACTGCACCAATAAAGCACCAACACAGCACCGACACTGCACCAATAAAGCACCAACACTTCACCTACACTGCACCAACACTGCACCAACACTGCACCAATAAAGCACCAACACCGCACCAACACTGCAGCAACACTGCACCAATAAAGCACCAACACTGCACCAATAAAGCACCAACACAGCACCAATAAAGCACCAACACAGCACCAATAAAGCACCAATAAAGCACCAACACAGCACCAATAAAGCACCAACACAGCACCAATAAAGCACCAACACTGCACCAATAAAGCACCAACACTTCACCAATAAAGCACCTACACAGCACCAATAAAGCACCAACACAGCACCAATAAAGCACCAACACAGCACCAATAAAGCACCAACACAGCACCAATAAAGCACCAACACTGCACCAATAAAGCACCAACACAGCACCAACACTTCACCAACACTGCACCAATAAAGCACCAACACTGCACCAATAAAGCACCAACACTGCACCAATAAAGCACCAATAAAGCACCAACACTTCACCAATAAAGCACCAACACAGCACCAATAAAGCACCAACACAGCACCAACACTTCACCAATAAAGCACCTACACAGCACCAATAAAGCACCAACACAGCACCAATAAAGCACCAACACTGCACCAATAAAGCACCAACAAAGCACCAACACTGCACCAATAAAGCACCAACACTGCACCAATAAAGCACCAACACAGCACCAACACTTCACCAATAAAGCACCAACACTGCACCAATAAAGCACCAACACAGCACCAACACTTCACCAATAAAGCACCTACACAGCACCAATAAAGCACCAACACAGCACCAACACTGCACCAATAAAGCACCAACAAAGCACCAACACAGCACCAACACTGCACCAATAAAGCACCAACAAAGCACCAACACTGCACCAATAAAGCACCAACACTGCACCAATAAAGCACCAACACAGCACCAACACTTCACCAATAAAGCACCAACACTGCACCAATAAAGCACCAACACAGCACCAACACTTCACCAATAAAGCACCTACACAGCACCAATAAAGCACCAACACAGCACCAACACTGCACCAATAAAGCACCAACACAGCACCAACACAGCACCAACACTTCACCTACACTACACAAACACTGCACCAACACTGCACCAACACTTCACCTACACTACACGAACACTGCACCAACACTGCACCGACACATCACCGACACATCACCGACACTTCACCTACACTGCACCAACACTGCACCAATAAAGCACCAACACAGCACCGACACTGCACCAATAAAGCACCAACACTTCACCTACACTGCACCAACACTGCACCAACACTGCACCAATAAAGCACCAACACCGCACCAACACTGCAGCAACACTGCACCAATAAAGCACCAACACTGCACCAACACTGCACCAATAAAGCACCAACACAGCACCAACACTGCACCAACACTGCACCAATAAAGCACCAACACTGCACCAATAAAGCACCAACACAGCACCAACACTGCACCAACACTGCACCAACACTGCACCAATAAAGCACCAACACTGCACCAACACATCACCGACACTGCACCAACACAGCACCAACACTGCACCAATAAAGCACCAACACTGCACCAACACATCACCGACACTGCACCAACACAGCACCAACACAACACAGTAAGAGTTCTCCTGGTGACCGTAGACAGTAGTAAGAGCTGGTAGATTGTGCAGACTCAGAAGTCACTCTGCAGTATTTGTGACTTGAATCTGATTCTGGAGGTCACTGAGTAATGGAGGGATATGAGTCCTTTTAATTCTAAAGTAAAATGTATTCCTCCCCCGTCTCCTCCTCCTCTCTCAGGGACTTCCTCCCTCGTGGTTCAGGGATCGTCACTCGGCGCCCCCTGGTGCTGCAGCTCATCAACTGTCCAACAGGTGAGACGCAGACTGTAAACACCATCTCATGTTTACACTCTCAGCCTGATCATGTGACTGATTATTGATCTGATCAAGTGACTGATTATTGTTCTGATCATGCGGTGTGTATCAGAGTTCGCAGAGTTCCTACACTGCAAAGGCAAGAAGTTCATCGACTTTGATGAAGTCCGTCAGGAGATCGAAGCAGAAACGGATCGAATCACCGGGCAGAACAAAGGGATTAGTCCGGTCCCCATAAACCTGAGAGTTTACTCGCCCAACGGTAACACACACACCTGCTGACATCAGCTACTGCTGCTGAGCTATGATTGGACAGTCAGTGTTTGGAGGCGGGGTTAAGTGACAGTTGAACTCTGTGTGTTGATGTTGTCAGTGCTGAACCTGACTCTGGTGGATCTTCCCGGGATGACCAAGGTCCCGGTGGGAGACCAGCCAGCCGACATTGAGAACCAGATCAGGGAGATGCTCATGCAGTTCGTCACCAAGGACAACTGCCTCCTATTGGCTGTTTCCCCCGCCAACTCTGACCTGGCCAACTCTGACGCTCTCAAGATCGCCAAGGAGGTCGACCCACAAGGTCAGAGTCCACAACACCTTCACTCACATCAAGATATATAAAACCACAACACAGAGACACCAAACCACCACAAAGACACAACAGACCACCACAAAGAGACCAAACCACTACACACAGACACCAAACCAGCACAAACACACAACAGACCACCACAAAGAAACACCAAACCACCACAAAGACAGAACAAACCACCACAAACACACAACAGACCACCACAAAGAGACCAAACCACTATACACAGACACCAAACCAGCACAAACACACAACAGACCACCACAAAGAAACACCAAACCACCACAAAGACAGAACAAACCACCACAAACACACAACAGACCACCACAAAGAAACACCAAACCACCACAAAGAGACAAACCACTACAAAGACACAACAGACCACCACAAAGAGACCAAACCACTATACACAGACACCAAACCAGCACAAACACACAACAGACCACCACAAAGAAACACCAAACCACCACAAAGACAGAACAAACCACCACAAACACACAACAGACCACCACAAAGAAACACCAAACCACCACAAAGAGACAAACCACTACAAAGACACAACAGACCACCACAAAGAGACCAAACCACTACACACAGACACCAAACCAGCACAAACACACAACAGACCACCACAAAGAAACACCAAACCACCACAAAGACAGAACAAACCACCACAAACACACAACAGACCACCACAAAGAGACCAAACCACTATACACAGACACCAAACCAGCACAAACACACAACAGACCACCACAAAGAAACACCAAACCACCACAAAGACAGAACAAACCACCACAAACACACAACAGACCACCACGAAGAGACACCAAACCGAATGTATGATTAGGGAGTGGTGGTGGCCAGTCTTGTGTCCCTGCTTGTAATGTCCTTGGTGGTTTGAATAAAGCTTTTTGAATCTGTGCTCAGGTCTGAGGACCATCGGTGTGATCACCAAACTGGATCTGATGGATGAAGGAACCGATGCCAGGGATATTCTGGAGAACAAACTGCTTCCACTACGCAGAGGTAGAGACTCATTACACCATCCTGCTCTCTGATTGGCTGTCAGGTCAAATCATAAATGTGGACGCCTCGTCATAGTTCTGTAATTTCACTCATTTTTATCTAAAATGTTTATTAGAAAGATTTTTTAAATAAGAGCAGCTGAGGTCAGATGTCCTAGGATCAACAGGTGTCTGGAAGCTTTGGCAGCAGAAGGGGCGCACAGAGATCAGTCTGTAGGTCAGAACAGCTCCTAATAAAGTAGGAAACTGCTTTAAAGTGTTTCTGAGATGAGACTTAAAGCACACAATGACTCAGAGCATTAAGTTCTGCAGGGTGAACGCAGCCTAACCGCCTCTGACCCGCCAGGTTACATCGGGGTGGTGAACCGCAGTCAGAAGGACATCGACGGCAAGAAGGACATCACAGCTGCTCTGCAGGCTGAGAGGAAGTTCTTCCTGTCGCACCCGTCATACCGACACCTGGCCGACCGCATGGGCACCGCCTACCTGCAGAAAGTCCTCAACCAGGTACGCACGCACACACAGCTGTGACAGAGGGAGTGTGAGCTTGTTAGTCGTTACTGTACGCTGCTGTCAGCTGCTGGTTCACAGCACAACATGAAGCTGTCCCGCTCAGGTCTGGCTCCAGTATCTCAAAGATTGTGAGCCTCGTGTTCTGGAAACAGGTCTGGATGCTGCACAGGTCTGTGACCCACATACACAGAGACCGAAGCCCGCATCAGACCAGTATCTGGCCCGTTTACACATGTGGGTCAGAACTGAGCGTCAGCGAGCAGGAAGTGGTTTCAGAGACCGGGTCAGGAAACCCCTCGGCTCTGCTTCCTCTGTAACCATAGTAACACTGCATTTCCCCGTTACCCCTAGCAACTGACCAACCACATCCGCGACACGTTGCCGGGGTTACGCAGCAAACTGCAGAGCCAGCTGCTGTCCATCGAGAAGGAGGTGGAGGAGTACAAGAACTTCAGACCGGACGACCCGGGACGCAAGACCAAGGCCCTGCTGCAGTCAGTCAGCACACACTCACACACACACACCTGTGCCTGAGCTCACCGTATGACATCACATGATGTGTGTGTGTGTGTGTGTGTGTGTGTCAGGATGGTGCAGCAGTTCGCCGTGGACTTTGAGAAGCGGATCGAAGGGTCAGGAGATCAGGTGGAAACCTACGAGCTGTCAGGAGGCGCAAAGATCAACCGCGTCTTCCACGAACGCTTCCCCTTCGAGCTGGTCAAGGTAACACACACACTGACTCAGCAGGTGAAACAAAGTAATGACAGCTACTGTCACTGTGCACACGTTCACCTGAACCTGAATGGGATGCAGCCATTGGTGTTCACATTGGTGCGTGTGTGTGTGTGTGCAGCTGCAGAGTGAAGAGAAGGCCCTCCGTAAAGAGATCAGCTACGCCATCAAGAACATCCATGGAATCAGGTGAGTCTGAAGTCAGCTGTGCATCCAGGTGTGTGCACGTCCAGGTGTGTGCACGTCCAGGTGTGTGCACGTCCAGGTGTGTGTGCCCGTCCAGGTGTGTGTGCATCCAGGTGTGTGCACGTCCAGGTGTGTGCACGTCCAGGTGTGTGCACGTCCAGGTGTGTGCGCGTCCAGGTGTGGGCACGTCCAGGTGTGTGTGCCCGTCCAGGTGTGTGCGCGTCCAGGTGTGGGCACGTCCAGGTGTGTGTGCCCGTCCAGGTGTGTGCGCGTCCAGGTGTGTGCACGTCCAGGTGTGTGCGCGTCCAGGTGTGTGCACGTCCAGGTGTGTGCGCGTCCAGGTGTGTGCGCGTCCAGGTGTGTGTGCCCGTCCAGGTGTGTGTGCGCGTCCAGGTGTGTGTGCGCGTCCAGGTGTGTGTGCGCGTCCAGGTGTGTGTGCGCGTCCAGGTGTGTGTGCGCGTCCAGGTGTGTGTGCGCGTCCAGGTGTGTGCCCGTCCAGGTGTGTGTGCGCGTCCAGGAGTGTGTGTCCAGGTAGCTGACCTCCCTCACCTGTGTTCTGTGTTCAGGACGGGTCTCTTCACACCTGACATGGCGTTCGAGACGATCGTGAAGCGTCTGATCGCTCAGATCAAAGAGCCGTGTCAGAAGTGTGTCGACATGGTGATCAACGAGCTGGTGAACACTGTCAGGCAGTGTACGCAGAAGGTACTGTTGCTGCTAGTACTCTGTTAGTACTCTGTTAGTACTCTGTTAGTACTCTGTTAGTAGTTTTAGTACTCTGTTAGTACTCTGTTAGTACTGTTAGTACTCTGTTAGTAGTTTTAGTACTCTGTTAGTACTCTGTTAGTACTCTATTAGTACTCTGTTAGTAGTTTTAGTACTCTGTTAGTACTCTGTTAGTAGTTTTAGCACTCTGTTAGTACTCTGTTAGTAGTTTTAGTACTCTGTTAGTACTCTGTTAGTACTCTGTTAGTAGTTTTAGTACTCTGTTAGTACTCTGTTAGTACTGTTAGTACTCTGTTAGTACTTTGTTAGTACTCTGTTAGTAGTTTTAGTACTCTGTTAGTAGTTTTAGTACTCTGTTAGTACTCTGTTGGTACTCTGTTAGTACTGTTAGTACTCTGTTAGTACTCTGTTAGTACTGTTAGTACTCTGTTAGTACTCTCTTGGTACTCTGTTAGTACGGTTAGAACTCTGTTAGTACTCCCTTGGTTCTCTCTTGGTACTCTGTTAGTACTGTTAGTACTCTGTTGGTACTCTGTGAGTACTGTTAGTACTCTGTTAGTACTCTGTTAGTACTGTTAGTACTCTGTTGGTACTCTGTTAGTACTGTTAGTACTCTGTTGGTACTCTGTTGGTACTCTGTTAGTAGTTTTAGTACTCTGTTAGTACTCTGTTAGTACTCTGTTGGTACTCTGTTAGTAGTTTTAGTACTCTGTTAGTACTCTGTTAGTAGTTTTAGTACTCTGTTAGTAATCTGTTAGTACTCTGTTGGTACTCTGTTAGTAGTTTTAGTACTTTGTTAGTACTCTGTCCGTACTCTGTTAGTACTCTGTCAGTACTCTGTTGGTACTCTGTCAGTACTCTGTTGGTACTCTGTTAGTACTCTGTCAGTACTCTGTTAGTACTCTGTCAGTACTCTGTTAGTACTGTTGGTACTCTGTTAGTACTCTGTCAGTACTCTGTTGGTACTCTGTTAGTACTCTGTCAGTACTCTGTTAGTACTCTGTCAGTACTCTGTTAGTACTGTTGGTACTCTGTTAGTACTGTGTTAGTACTGTGTTAGTACTGTTAGTACTGTGTTAGTACTCTGTTGGTACTCTGTTAGTACTGTTAGTACTCTGTTAGTACTGTGTTAGTACTCTGTTGGTACTCTGTCAGTACTCTGTTAGTACTGTTGGTACTCTGTTAGTACTGTGTTAGTACTCTGTTAGTATTGTTAGTACTGTGTTAGTACTCTGTTGGTACTCTGTTAGTACTCTGTTAGTACTGTTAGTACTGTGTTAGTACTGTTAGTACTCTGTTAGTACTCTTTTGGTACTCTGTTAGTACAGTTAGTACTCTGTTAGTACTCTGTTGGTACTGTGTTAGTACTCTGTCAGTACTCTGTTAGTACTCTTTTGGTACTCTGTTAGTAGTTAGTACTCTGTCAGTACTCTGTTAGTACTCTGTCAGTACTCTGTTAGTACTCTGTTGGTACTGTGTTAGTACTCTGTCAGTACTCTGTTAGTACTCTGTTGGTACTGTGTTAGTACTCTGTCAGTACTCTGTTAGTACTCTGTTGGTACTCTGTTAGTACTGTGTTAGTACTGTGTTAGTACTGTTAGTACTGTGTTAGTACTCTGTTGGTACTCTGTTAGTACTGTTAGTACTCTGTTAGTACTGTTAGTACTCTGTTAGTACTCTGTTGGTACTCTGTCAGTACTCTGTTAATACTGTTGGTACTCTTTTAGTACTGTGTTAGTACTGTGTTAGTACTGTTAGTACTGTGTTAGTACTCTGTTGGTACTCTGTTAGTACTGTTAGTACTCTGTTAGTACTGTTAGTACTGTGTTAGTACTCTGTTGGTACTCTGTCAGTACTCTGTTAATACTGTTGGTACTCTTTTAGTACTGTGTTAGTACTGTGTTGGTACTCTGTCAGTACTCTGTTAGTACTCTGTTAGTACTCTGTTAGTAGTTTTAGTACTCTGTTGGTACTCTGTTAGTACTGTTAGTATTCTGTTAGTACTCTGTTAGTACTCTGTTGGTACTCTGTCAGTACTCTGTTAGTACTCTGTCAGTACTCTGTCAGTACTCTGTTAGTACTCTGTCAGTACTCTGTCAGTACTCTGTTGGTACTCTGTCAGTACTCTGTCAGTACTCTGTCAGTACTCTGTTAGTATTCTGTTGGTACTCTGTTGGTACTCTGTCAGTACTCTGTCAGTACTCTGTCAGTACTCTGTTAGTACTCTGTCAGTACTCTATTGGTACTCTGTTAGTACTGTTAGTATTCTGTTAGTACTGTTAGTACTGTGTTAGTACTCTGTTGGTACTCTGTTAGTACTGTTAGTATTCTGTTAGTACTGTTAGTACTGTGTTAGTACTCTGTTGGTACTCTGTTAGTACTGTTAGTATTCTGTTAGTACTCTGTTAGTACTCTGTCAGTACTCTGTCAGTACTCTGTTAGTATTCTGTTGGTACTCTGTTAGTACTCTGTTAGTACTGTTAGTACTGTGTTAGTACTCTGTTAGTACTGTTAGTACTGTGTTAGTACTCTGTTGGTACTCTGTTAGTACTCTGTCAGTACTCTGTTAGTACTCTGTTAGTACTCTGTTGGTACTCTGTTAGTACTCTGTTAGTACTGTTAGTACTCTGTTAGTACTCTGTTAGTACTGTTGGTACTCTGTTAGTACTCTGTTAGTACTCTGTTAGTACTGTTAGTACTGTGTTAGTACTCTGTTGGTACTCTGTTAGTACTGTTAGTACTCTGTTAGTACTGTGTTAGTACTCTGTTGGTACTCTTTCAGTACTCTGTTAGTACTGTTGGTACTCTGTTAGTACTGTGTTAGTACTCTGTTGGTACTCTGTTAGTACTGTGTTAGTACTGTTAGTACTCTGTTAGTACTCTTTTGGTACTGTTAGTACTGTTAGTACTCTGTTAGTACTCTGTTGGTACTCTGTCAGTACTCTGTTAGTACTGTTGGTACTCTGTTAGTACTGTTAGTACTCTGTTAGTACTCTGTTGGTACTCTGTCAGTACTCTGTTAGTACTGTTGGTACTCTGTTAGTACTGTGTTAGTACTCTGTTGGTACTCTGTTAGTACTGTTAGTACTCTGTTAGTACTCTTTTGGTACTGTTAGTACTGTGTTAGTACTGTTAGTACTCTGTTAGTACTCTTTTGGTACTGTTAGTACTGTTAGTACTCTGTTAGTACTCTGTTGGTACTCTGTCAGTACTCTGTTAGTACTGTTGGTACTCTGTTAGTACTGTGTTAGTACTCTGTTGGTACTCTGTTAGTACTGTTAGTACTCTGTTAGTACTCTTTTGGTACTGTTAGTACTGTTAGTACTCTGTTAGTACTCTGTTGGTACTGTGTTAGTACTCTGTCAGTACTCTGTTAGTACTCTATTGGTACTCTGTTAGTACTGTGTTAGTACTCTGTTAGTACTGTGTTAGTACTCTGTTGGTACTCTGTTAGTACTGTTAGTACTGTGTTAGTACTCTGTTGGTACTCTGTCAGTACTCTGTTAGTACTCTGTCAGTACTCTGTCAGTACTCTGTTGGTACTTTGTCAGTACTCTGTTAGTACTCTGTCAGTACTCTGTCAGTACTCTGTCAGTACTGTTAGTACTGTGTTAGTACTCTGTTGGTACTGTTAGTACTGTGTTAGTACTCTGTTGGTACTCTGTTAGTACTGTTAGTACTCTGTTAGTACTGTTAGTACTGTGTTAGTACTCTGTTGGTACTCTGTCAGTACTCTGTTAGTACTCTGTCAGTACTCTGTTGGTACTCTGTTAGTACTGTTAGTACTCTGTTAGTACTCTGTCAGTACTCTGTTAGTACTCTGTCAGTACTCTGTTAGTACTGTTAGTATTCTGTTGGTACTCTGTTAGTACTGTTAGTACTGTGTTAGTACTCTGTTGGTACTGTTAGTACTGTGTTAGTACTCTGTTGGTACTCTGTCAGTACTCTGTTAGTACTCTGTCAGTACTCTGTCAGTACTCTGTTAGTACTCTGTTAGTACTCTGTTAGTACTCTGTCAGTACTCTGTTAGTACTGTTAGTATTCTGTTGGTACTCTGTTAGTACTCTGTTAGTACTGTTAGTACTGTGTTAGTACTCTGTTGGTACTGTTAGTACTGTGTTAGTACTCTGTTGGTACTGTTAGTACTGTGTTAGTACTCTGTTAGTACTCTGTCAGTACTCTGTTGGTACTCTGTTAGAACTGTTAGTATTCTGTTAGTACTCTGTCAGTACTCTGTTAGTACTCTGTCAGTACTCTGTCAGTACTCTGTTAGTACTCTGTTGGTACTCTGTTAGTACTCTGTCAGTACTCTGTTAGTACTGTGTTAGTACTCTTTTGGTACTCTGTTAGTACTCTGTCAGTACTCTGTCAGTACTCTGTTAGTACTGTGTTAGTACTCTTTTGGTACTCTGTTAGTACTCTGTCAGTACTCTGTTAGTACTCTGTCAGTACTCTGTTAGTACTCTGTTGGTACTCTGTTAGTACTCTGTTAGTACTCTGTTGGTACTGTGTTAGTACTCTGTCGGTACTGTGTTAGTACTCTGTTGGTACTGTTGAGTACTCTGTTAGTACTCTGTTAGTACTCTGTCAGTACTCTGTTAGTACTCTGTTAGTACTCTGTTGGTACTCTGTTAGTACTCTGTTAGTACTCTGTTAGTACTGTTAGTACTCTGTTAGTACTGTTAGTACTGTTAGAACTCTGTTGGTACTCTGTTAGTACTCTGTCAGTACTCTGTCAGTACTCTGTTAGTACTGTGTTAGTACTCTTTTGGTACTCTGTCAGTACTCTGTCAGTACTCTGTTAGTACTCTGTCAGTACTCTGTTAGTACTCTGTTGGTACTGTGTTAGTACTCTGTTAGTACTCTGTTAGTACTCTGTAGGTACTCTGTCGGTACTCTGTCGGTACTGTGTTAGTACTCTGTTAGTACTGTTAGTACTCTGTTAGTACTCTGTTAGTACTCTGTAGGTACTCTGTCGGTACTGTGTTAGTACGCTGTTAGTACTGTTAGTACTGTGTTAGTACTGTGTTAGTACTGTTAGTACTGTGTTAGTACTCTGTTGGTACTCTGTTGGTACTCTGTTAGTACTCTGTCGGTACTCTGTTAGTACTGTTAGTACTGTGTTAGTACTCTGTTAGTACTGTTAGTACTGTGTTAGTACTGTGTTAGTACTGTTAGTACTGTGTTAGTACTCTGTTGGTACTCTGTTAGTACTCTGTCGGTACTGTGTTAGTACTGTGTTAGTACTGTGTTAGTACTCTGTTGGTACTGTTAGTACTGTGTTAGTACTGTGTTAGTACTGTTAGTACTGTGTTAGTACTCTGTTGGTACTCTGTTAGTACTCTGTCGGTACTGTGTTAGTACTGTTAGTACTGTGTTAGTACTGTGTTAGTACTGTTAGTACTGTGTTAGTACTCTGTTGGTACTCTGTTGGTACTCTGTTAATACTCTGTCGGTACTGTGTTAGTACTCTGTCGGTACTGTGTTAGTACTGTTAGTACTGTGTTAGTACTGTGTTAGTACTGTTAGTACTGTGTTAGTACTCTGTTGGTACTCTGTTAGTACTCTGTTAATACTCTGTCGGTACTGTGTTAGTACTGTTAGTACTGTGTTAGTACTGTGTTAGTACTGTTAGTACTGTGTTAGTACTCTGTTGGTACTCTGTTAGTACTCTGTAGGTACTCTGTCGGTACTGTGTTAGTACTCTGTCGGTACTCTGTTAGTACTGTTAGTACTGTGTTAGTACTGTGTTAGTACTGTTAGTACTGTGTTAGTACTCTGTCGGTACTCTGTTAGTACTCTGTTAGTACTCTGTTAGTACTCTGTTAGTACTCTGTCGGTACTCTGTTAGTACTCTGTAGGACGGCGTCGTCAGCTGTTAAAGGCTCTCTGATGAACTGGGGTTTTGCGTCTCATGCGCGTCCCGGTTCAGCCTCTGACCTCTGACCTCTGACCTGCAGCTGGCTCAGTACCCGATGCTCAGAGAGGAGATGGAGAGGATCGTCACTCAGCACATCAGAGACCGAGAGAGTCGCACCAAAGACCAGGTCTGCCTGTCCCGCTGCGGTCAGAACCAGGTAACGCTCCTCCGGGTCCTGAACTGAGCCGTCTCATCCTGGTTCTTCCAGGTGATGCTGCTGATCGACATTGAGCTGGCATACATGAACACCAACCATGAAGACTTCATCGGCTTTGCAAAGTAAGAAGCTCTGAACACACACTCACAAAGGTCAGCTGGTGAGTTGGTGAAACAAAGTCACATGACGTGAAGAAAAGCTGATGTAGTGAAAACGTTCCTGAACACCCAGACCACACACCAGTCACTCCATAAATCAGTCAGAAAGAGCTTTTTCCTCAGTGTCTGTGCTGGGGGGGCGTGTTTCCTGAACTGTCTTTTGATTGGTCAGAAACAAGATGCGGGTCTGGACCTGCTCTGCAAGGGAGCCCTGGTGCTCAATAAATCAAACTGAATTAATAATAATCCAAAAGATCTCCCAGCAGTCAGAGAGGAGGAGACGCCAGCAGACTGCACGCCGCTTTGGCAAGTCCTGCTACGGAGTCCTGTCGCTCCGTGCAGAGAAATCTCTGCTGTGGTTCTTCACCTTCGCTGTTCTGCCTTCCTCTAAGGGAACGTTCTTGTTCTTGGATGTAGCCAAGGTGTGAATCTCCCTCAGACTGAACACTGATCTCACTGTCTCTCTGTCTGTCTGTCTGTCTGTCTGTCTGTCTCTCTGTCTTTCTGTCTGTGTCTGTCTCTCTGTCTCTCTGTCTGTCTGTCTGTCTGTCTGTCTGTCTGTCTGTCTCTCTGTCTGTCTGTCTGTCTGTCTGTCTGTCTGTCTCTCTGTCTCTCTGTCTTTCTGTCTGTCTTTCTGTCTGTGTCTGTCTCTCTGTCTCTCTGTCTGTCTTTCTGTCTGTCTGTCTCTCTGTCTGTCTCTCTGTGTCTGTCTCTCTGTCTGTCTGTCTGTCTGTCTGTCTGTCTCTCTGTCTGTCTCTCTGTGTCTGTCTCTCTGTCTCTCTGTCTGTGTCTGTCTGTGTCTGTCTGTCTGTCTGTCTGTCTCTCTCTCTGTCTGTCTTTCTGTCTCTCTGTCTCTCTGTCTGTCTTTCTGTCTCTCTGTCTCTCTGTCTCTCTGTCTGTGTCTGTCTCTCTGTCTCTCTGTCTTTCTGTCTGTCTTTCTGTCTGTGTCTGTCTCTCTGTCTCTCTGTCTCTCTGTCTGTCTTTCTGTCTGTCTGTCTCTCTGTCTGTCTGTCTGTCTGTCTGTCTGTCTCTCTGTCTGTCTCTCTGTGTCTGTCTCTCTGTCTCTCTGTCTGTGTCTGTCTGTGTCTGTCTGTGTCTCTCTGTCTGTCAGTGCTCAGCAGAAGAGCAGTCAGATGAACAAGAAGAAAGCAGCAGGAAACCAGGTGAGTCTCAACAGGTAACCGGGGGGGGGGGGGGGGACGACACTGACCTTATTGACATGTTTCCCTTCTCTTCTGTCTGTCTCACCGTCCCTCAACCTTTTGCTGCGGCAACCAGGACGAGATAATGGTGAGTGTGTGCAGTACGTTAGTGATGTCACCGACGACTTCCTTTCTATTTTTCACCAATCACAGCGCAGCTTCCTGCACACACTGAAAACACTGAAGAAGAGTGTGAGTGTGAGTGTGAGTGTGTGGAAAATTACCTCAGTGCGCCTGGAAGCTGTTGTAGGGGAAGAGGAAATCCTGTCCTAACTTTCAAAATAAAAGCATGGCGAACATGATAAAACGTGATAAAGTGCGTTGTAGTGACAGACTGTGTATCTAAGCAACGATCTGCACACTCTGACTTCCTGTTCCAATCAAACTTCTGGGCGCACTGAAAATATTTTGCATGCACACACGTGTGGCCTGCATCCCGCCGTGTGTGAGGTTGGTGGCGTGTGAACGTTGTCAGTGTGCATTCGTCCACCACACGACCTCCCGCTGATTAGAGAGCAGTGAAAGGATCCAGACATATGTTTATTGGTGAGTCCGCCTACCTGAGCAGCACCTGCGCGTCGCAGAGCTCTTGCTTCTCATTGGCCGCCCTTGTGAGCAGGTTAGGTTCGCACAATCAGGGTCTGCACCTGCAGGACGTGTCACTTATTATGTCATTATTATTATTGTAAGAAAGAGAGAGAGAGACAGGACGGGGGGGGGGCGTTCCGGACGTAGCCTTTGTATACGGTGCTCCACCAGGTGAGCTCACCGGCGCTCCTGGACAGGACGTGTCACTTTATTTATCAGAGTGGAAACGTCTGTGTGGACGCCACAAGCAGAGGTAGGCGGCGTGGCTAGCCTGGATGACATCATTACCTGCCATAACTTGAGTGTGCGTGTGTGTGTGTGTGTGTGTGTGTGCAGGTGATCCGTAAAGGCTGGCTGACCATCAACAACATCAGCATCATGAAGGGAGGAGCTAAAGAGTACTGGTTTGTCCTGACTGCGGAGACCCTGTCCTGGTACAAAGATGACGAGGTAACACACGCGGCTAACGTCAGCTGGAGCTAGCTTAATGTTGTTGTTTTGTTTACTGTTGTTGTTGTTGTTGTTGCCCCCGCAGGAGAAGGAGAAGAAGTACATGCTGCCTGTGGACAACCTGAAACTCAAAGACATCGAGAAAAGCTTCATGTCCAGCAAACACATCTTTGCCCTGTTCAACACTGAGCACAGGTGTGTGCGTGTGCGTTTGTGCGTGTGTGTCTGCAGATGATGTTGTTGTTTTCACTTTGATCAGCTGTTTCTCAATTCCTGTTTCAGGAATGTGTACAAAGACTACCGGCAGCTGGAGCTGGCCAGCGAGTCTCAGGACGAGGTGGACGGCTGGAAGGCTTCTTTCCTACGAGCTGGAGTGTACCCCGAACGCACCGTGGTACAACTCAGTACTACTGCAGTATTAATTTGTTATTCCAGTAGTATTACTTGTTAACACTCTCTTTGTTTCCTCCCGTCCTGCAGGACAAAGAGAAGGTGAGCCCCCGTCTGTTTCTCTTATTTTGTCCACAGTGTGTGTGTAGTTAATCGGCGGCCTTGTTTGTGCAGGTGGAGGCGTGTGTGTGTAGTTAATCGGCGGCCATGTTTGTGCAGGTGGAGGTGGAGGAGGCGAGCGGGGACGGGCAGATCCACAGTCTGGACCCTCAGCTGGAGCGACAGGTGGAGATCGTCAGGAACCTGGTGGACTCGTACCTGTCCATCATCCACCGCACCGTCAGAGACCTCATCCCCAAGACCATCATGCACCTGATGGTCAACAACGTACGACACACACACACACACACACACACAGACATACACACAGGAAGTGATGCAGTCAGTCATGTGACCTCCTTTCTGTCCATCAGACGAAAGAGTTCATCCACTCTGACCTGCTGGCTCAGCTGTACTCCTGCGGAGACCAGAACAGCCTGATGGAGGAGTCCCAGGAACAGGTGAGACAGACAGAGAGACATCTGTGTGTCATTTAAAATAGTACTCTTTTATTATCGCTGTAAAATCATCTTTTTCTGATTCTGTCTTTTCATGTGACGACACTGAAGAAATGACCCTTTGCTCCAGTGTAAAGTAGTGAGCGTGCAGCTTGTAGAACAGTGTAAAGTAGTGAGCGTGCAGCTTGTATAACAGTGTAAAGTAGTGAGCGTGCAGCTTGTATAACAGTGTAAAGTAGTGAGCGTGCAGCTTGTAGAACAGTGTAAAGTAGTGAGCGTGCAGCTTGTAGAACAGTGTAAAGTAGTGAGCGTGCAGCTTGTATAACAGTGTAAAGTAGTGAGCGTACAGCTTCTATAACAGTGTAAAGTAGTGAGCGTACAGCTTGTATAACAGCGTAAAGTAGTGAGCGTACAGCTTGTAGAACAGTAGAACAGTGTAAAGTAGTGAGCGTACAGCTTCTATAACAGTGTAAAGTAGTGAGCGTACAGCTTGTAGAACAGTAGAACAGTGTAAAGTAGTGAGCGTACAGCTTCTATAACAGTGTAAAGTAGTTATAACAGTGTAAAGTAGTGAGCGTACAGCTTGTAGAACAGTGTAAAGTAGTGAGCGTACAGCTTGTATAACAGCGTAAAGTAGTGAGCGTACAGCTTGTAGAACAGTAGAACAGTGTAAAGTAGTGAGTGTACAGCTTGTAGAACAGTGTAAAGTAGTTATAACAGTGTAAAGTAGTGAACGTACAGCTTGTAGAACAGTGTAAAGTAGTGAGCGTACAGCTTGTATAACAGCGTAAAGTAGTGAGCGTACAGCTTGTAGAACAGTAGAACAGTGTAAAGTAGTGAGCGTACAGCTTGTAGAACAGTGTAAAGTAGTTATAACAGTGTAAAGTAGTGAGCGTACAGCTTGTATAAGTGTAATAACAGTGTAAAGTAGTGAGCGTACAGCTTGTATAACAGTGTAAAGTAGTGAGCGTACAGCTTGTATAACAGCGTAAAGTAGTGAGCGTACAGCTTGTATAACAGCGTAAAGTAGTGAGCGTACAGCTTGTATAACAGCGTAAATTAGTGAGCGTACAGCTTGTATAACAGCGTAAAGTAGTGAGCGTACAGCTTGTATAACAGCGTAAAGTAGTGAGCGTGCAGCTTGTAGAACAGTAGAACAGTGTAAAGTAGTGAGCGTACAGCTTGTATAACAGCGTAAAGTAGTGAGCGTACAGCTTGTAGAACAGTGTAAAGTAGTGAGCGTACAGCTTGTAGAACAGTGTAAAGTAGTTATAACAGTGTAAAGTAGTGAGCGTACAGCTTCTATAACAGTGTAAAGTAGTGAGCGTACAGCTTGTATAACAGCGTAAAGTAGTGAGCGTACAGCTTGTAGAACAGTAGAACAGTGTAAAGTAGTGAGCGTACAGCTTCTATAACAGTGTAAAGTAGTGAGCGTACAGCTTGTATAACAGCGTAAAGTAGTGAGCGTACAGCTTGTAGAACAGTAGAACAGTGTAAAGTAGTGAGCGTACAGCTTGTAGAACAGTGTAAAGTAGTTATAACAGTGTAAAGTAGTGAGCGTACAGCTTGTAGAACAGTGTAAAGTAGTTATAACAGTGTAAAGTAGTGAGCGTACAGCTTGTAGAACAGTGTAAAGTAGTTATAACAGTGTAAAGTAGTGAACGTACAGCTTGTAGAACAGTGTAAAGTAGTGAGCGTACAGCTTGTATAACAGCGTAGTGAGCGTACAGCTTGTAGAACAGTAGAACAGTGTAAAGTAGTGAGCGTACAGCTTGTAAAACAGTGTAAAGTAGTTATAACAGTGTAAAGTAGTGAGCGTACAGCTTGTATAAGTGTAATAACAGCGTAAAGTAGTGAGCGTACAGCTTGTATAACAGCGTAAAGTAGTGAGCGTACAGCTTGTATAACAGCGTAAAGTAGTGAGCGTGCAGCTTGTAGAACAGTAGAACAGTGTAAAGTAGTGAGCGTACAGCTTGTATAACAGCGTAAAGTAGTGAGCGTACAGCTTGTATAACAGTGTAAAGTAGTGAGCGTACAGCTTGTATAACAGCGTAAAGTAGTGAGCGTACAGCTTGTATAACAGCGTAAAGTAGTGAGCGTGCAGCTTGTAGAACAGTGTAAAGTAGTGAGCGTACAGCTTGTATAACAGCGTAAAGTAGTGAGCGTACAGCTTGTAGAACAGCGTAAAGTAGTGAACGTACAGCTTGTAGAACAGTGTAAAGTAGTGAGCGTACAGCTTGTATAACAGCGTAAAGTAGTGAGCGTACAGCTTGTAGAACAGTGTAAAGTAGTGAACGTACAGCTTGTATAACAGCGTAAAGTAGTGAGCGTGCAGCTCGTAGAACAGTGTAAAGTAGTGAGCGTACAGCTCGTAGAACAGTGTAAAGTAGTGAGCGTACAGCTTGTAGAACAGTGTAAAGTAGTGAGCGTACAGCTTGTATAACAGTGTAAAGTAGTGTTTAGCGTTTATAAACCGTCATTTACTGTGTGGTAGTTTGTACACAAGACTCCTGTTTGAGGAGTTGCTGTTCAATCCCCACGTGCTGCTAGTTTTATCCTTTTCTCCTCCCTCTCTCTCCCCCTCCCTCTCCCCCTGTCTGTCTCTGTGTCTCTCGCCCAGGCTCAGCACCGTGATGAGATGCTCAGGATGTACCACGCCCTGCGCGAAGGCCTCAGCATCATCGGTGACATCAGCACCTCCACCATCACCACGGTGATGCCTCCGCCCGTTGACGACTCCTGGCTGCAGGTGACGGGGATGCCGTCAGGACGCAGGTAACCCAGCGGCAGGTCAGGTGTAGGCACAGTACGTGTTGTCTGATCACTTCATCAGTATGCTGGTCTCTGCAGATCTCCCATGTCCAGCCCGACCCCCCAACGCCGGGCCCCTCCTGGACCTCCTCGTCCAGGCGGTCGCGCTGCCCCCGGCCCTCCATCTCGTCCCGCAGTGTCACCTGACCCTGGAGCGCCCTCTGTGCCCTCCCGACCCAACAGAGCGCCCCCACCTGGAGTCCCCAGGTACCCCCCCACACACACAGGGACCCAGAGGTCAAAGGTCAAGCTGGCAGTTTCTCACAGCCGGATCAGTTTCTGATCCAAGATTTCACCACATTCCTCTGACAGAATAGCACAGTGTGAGGGGGCTTCAGCTGAAGACTACATTACCCAGCAGCCCTGTATCAGGACTGATGCTGCATTCAGGTCATGTGGGAGCGGTTAGCCTGTTAGCTCAGTGAGAAACGGAAAGAGAGAGCATCAAGCAGCAGGTCCTGTTGCCTTCGGATGAAACCCGACTAGTGATCCAGATCAGGGGTCTCATTTAGAACCGTCAGACTAGACGGGCCTGAAAGAGCCGCACCCCACTTCCTACGCAAAGCTGTCTGTCTATAAACAAAGGTGGCGGGAGAACGTGCACCTTGAAGTAACTTGTGCCGCAGACGGTGCAGTCGGACCAGATCACGCTACACATTTAAATTCACATCAGACGGTTATTAGAGATCCACCTTATCAGAACCTTTCAAACCAGCGGTGTCAATTGCTCACCTGCGCCGCTCTCGCTCGGTCGCTGCACTCTCTCACTATCCGTCCTGTTCACCTGTAGACCTCCATCCTCAGGGTGGGGGGGTCTGACAGCTGGGAACACAAATCCTGCAGGACATTTCCAGGTGGACTGTGATTATGAAGGGACAGTTACCTGCAGAGGTTTCACAAATCAGATGCTTGGTTGTTGTTTTTAGTCCCAGCCAATACAGATGGAAGATTCTTGATATCTGATGATTAAAGACGTAAATCAGGATCGGAAAACTAAAGAATCGGGACTCAAACTCAGGTCTTCATCACACCTCAAACTTTGAGGTCACGTAGCGTCTTGCAAGGCAGCATTAACTGTAATTCCCCACACTGTAATGTGACCTGAATGCAGCATGAATGTGTTTCCAGGTGTTTCCAGGTGTTCAGATCAGTGTGTCCAGTTTGGTTTAACACACTCTCTCATGGACGTCCATCAAAAAGTTAGAAAATTAAATTTAAATCAGATTTATTTCCTGTTCTGAAAGAAGCTTCTGGAGGTTCAAACCGATAAATAATAATAATAATAACAGTGAAGTCGACGGTTTCTGCCCTGACTCAGCAGATTCTTGTGTTTTTCACCAGGCTGGACACGGAGGTTTTATTAGAACATGATGCGTGTTTTGTGGTTAGAGTTTCTTCTTCGTTGGTGCTGTAGACAGAAAGCAGCGATCCACAAACAACCTGCACAGACATGGAAAAGAAAGACCGGTCTTTCTTTGCTCCTCTCTTCCTCCCTCTGCTCATTCTTCTTCTCCTCATCCTCAGACCTCCATCACGCCTCCATCTGTAAACACATGACGTCCAGTTAATGTTAAAGGATCCGTCCCACATTCTGGGGACATCCACAGTTTCATCTCTGAGTCCAACACAGACAGAGGTGCAGGACCTGACTAGCCTAGCTTAGCACAAAGACTGGAAGCAGGGAGAAAGCGTTAGCTGGGGGAAAGTGCGAGCCTAGCTTAGCACAAAGACTGGAAGCAGGGAGAAAGCGTTAGCAGGGGGAAAGTGCGAGCCTAGCTTAGCACAAAGACTGGAAGCAGGGAGAAAGCGTTAGCAGGGGGAAAGTGCGAGCCTAGCTTAGCACAAAGACTGGAAGCAGGGAGAAAGCGCTAGCAGGGGGAAAGTGCAAGCCTAGCTTAGCACAAAGACTGGAAGCAGGGGGCAAGTGCTAGCCTAGCTTAACACAAAGACTGGAAGCAGGGAGAAAGCGCTAGCAGGGGGAAAGTGCGAGCCTAGCTTAGCACAAAGACTGGAAGCAGGGAGAAAGCGCTAGCAGGGGGAAAGTGCAAGCCTAGCTTAGCACAAAGACTGGAAGCAGGGGGCAAGTGCTAGCCCAGCTTAGCACAAAGACTGGAAGCAGGGGGAAAGTGCCAGCCTAGCTTAGCACAAAGACTGGAAGCAGGGGGAAAGTGCCAGCCTAGCTTAGCACAAAGACTGGAAAGACAAAGACTTTAGCTGTGTGTCACCATCCAGGCTTCCTGAAGCTCCGCTGCCAGAGTAGTGATAGTGAGTGATGAGGACATGTCCCCAGCGTACCCAGAGGAAATGACCCTTATGATGCTGCAGCCATCAACAACCCCCCACTCACGGTTGGATTTAAAGGCAACTAGCTTCCTGGCTAACAGTTTTCAGATGAAGCTAAGCTAGCATTTCCCCCTGCTTCCAGTCTTTGTGCTAAGCTAGGCTAGCACTTTCCCCCTGCTTCCAGTCTTTGTGCTAAGCTAGGCTAGTCAGGCCCTGGACCACCTCTGAACAAAACACACAGAAATGAAGCTGATTTATTTTTCACCATCAACCTCTGTACGTCCACCTGGAGCCATGTCTGTCTGTCTGTCTGTCTGTCTCTTTGTCTACCTGTTTACCTGTCTGTCTGTCTGTCTGTCTCCCTGTTTACCTGTCTGTCTGTCTGTCTCTTTGTCTACCTGTTTACCTGTCTACCTGTCTGTCTACCTGTTTACCTGTCTGTCTGTCTGTCTACCTGTCTACCTGTCTGTCTGTCTGTCTCTTTGTCTACCTGTCTGTCTGTCTTTTTGTCTGTCTGTCTCTTTGTCTACCTGTCTGTCTGTCTTTTTGTCTGTCTGTCTCTTTGTCTGTCTGTCTGTCTACCTGTCTATCTGTCTGTCTTTTTGTCTACCTGTTTACCTGTCTGTCTGTCTCTTTGTCTGTCTGTCTGTCTACCTGTCTACCTGTCTGTCTGTCTGTCTTTTTGTCTACCTGTTTACCTGTCTGTCTGTCTTTTTGTCTACCTGTTTACCTGTCTGTATGTCTCTTTGTCTGTCTGTCTGTCTACCTGTCTACCTGTCTACCTGTCTGTCTGTCTGTCTTTTTGTCTACCTGTCTACCTGTCTGTCTGTCTGTCTTTTTGTCTACCTGTTTACCTGTCTGTCTGTCTCTTTGTCTACCTGTCTGTCTGTCTTTTTGTCTGTCTGTCTCTTTGTCTACCTGTTTACCTGTCTGTCTGTCTCTTTGTCTACCTGTCTGTCTGTCTTTTTGTCTGTCTGTCTCTTTGTCTACCTGTCTACCTGTCTGTCTGTCTGTCTCTTTGTCTACCTGTCTGTCTGTCTTTTTGTCTGTCTGTCTCTTTGTCTACCTGTTTACCTGTCTGTCTGTCTCTTTGTCTACCTGTCTGTCTGTCTTTTTGTCTGTCTGTCTCTTTGTCTACCTGTCTACCTGTCTGTCTGTCTGTCTCTTTGTCTACCTGTCTGTCTGTCTTTTTGTCTGTCTGTCTCTTTGTCTACCTGTCTGTCTGTCTGTCTCTTTGTCTACCTGTCTGTCTGTCTTTTTGTCTGTCTGTCTCTTTGTCTACCTGTCTGTCTTTTTGTCTGTCTGTCTCTTTGTCTACCTGTCTGTCTGTCTGTCTGTCTGTCTGTCTGTCTTTCTCTGTTTGTGTGATCCTGTTCTAACAGTACCTTATAAGGCCAAACAGGAAGCTCTCAGGTGTGTCAGAGCAGGTAGCTCCGCCCCCCTCATATTGACCATATATGGTTATTCTTTCAGAATCTCTATCAGTGACCAGTGAGGAGTTCACCAATGGTACGTCAGCTGTCTGTGTGATGTCACTGTCTCTCACCAACTCTTAGTGTGTGTGTGTGCCTCATCATCCAATCAGATTGCTGTCCTCACCGTGTGACCCCGCCCACTCCCCCCAGCATAATAGTTAGCTGTATGATTGACAGCTCCATCAACCTGTTACTGACTGTCTGTCTCTCTCTGTCTGTCTGTTGTTTTTATTTGTGTTTGTTGTGGTTTCTCCAGTCGGAGGGCTCCTGCATCTCCATCCCGACCCTCCAGACCCGACTGACTCCTCCCTCTTACACACACAGTGTACACTCACGCACACACACACAATGTACACACCGACAACGCACATCTCACATTGAACACGAGGATCCAGCTGGACTGTTTCAGTCGTGTTCACAAATGTTTCACAAGGTTTTGGAACACAGACTTGCACACACACTGCAGAACCAGCTCCTACTGGTTCTAACTGATTCTAATAGGCCTCTACTCATTTCACTGGGTGCAAGCTGGTGACACGTTTCATACTGGTTTAACTGGTCCCTTCTGCTTTGAACTGGTTTTTACTCATTCCAAAATGTTTCCACTCATTTACACTTGGTCCATCATGTTTCCATTGGTTCCAGCTGGTTGTAAGCGGTTCTAACTGACTCCAACCAGTTATGTTCCACGTTTTCTTTTACCTGTCACCAGGTATTTGACCCCACAGTGGACTTCAGATGTCTTTTTGGCAGAAGTTCTGACAGGATCAATTTCACTGTAGACAAGACTGAAAACATTTATTTTAAGATAAGATAAGAAAACCTTTATTTGTCCCACAGTTGGGAAATTGCGGATGGAAATTTTGTGTGTCTCTGAGCTCCCACATTTCTAAAACCACATAATGCAAATGTTAAGCCTCTGTTCAGTCATGCCCATTTTTGAAATCTTTTTATATTTATACTTTATGTTTTATTTTATAATTTCTTTTAATAATATGTAGTAATTATGTGGCATCAGAAAATGGTTTGAGTTCCAGGCTGAGAAAGAATTTATCAGTTTATCATTATTAACACTGTGCATATACAGAAATACAAAACCACAATAATGAGTCTTTAAAATATACATTTCACAAGCGTCAGGAAGAAGCCAACTGTTAACGACAAGCAGCAATGATTCTGAATGTGTCGGAACAACCAGCAAGGACATTATTTCACAATCACGTCTTGTTCAAATCACGGGAATAAATCCTCACAATGAACACAATGGATGATGCATAACATTATAAATTCACTCGCTGTTCCGTCCTGACTGTTAATCCTAAACAATGTTCCCATGCATTCCCCCCCATTTTCACTCATTCTTCCCTGCTATACCCTCCTCTGCTGTACCCTACTCTTCCCTACTCTGCTATACCCTCCTCTGCTGTACCCTACTCTACTGTATCTTACTCTACTGTACCCTCCTACTTTACCCTCCTCTGCTGTACCTTACTCTACTGTATCTTACTCTACCCTCCTCTACTGTACACTGCTCTGCTGTACCTTACTCTACTGTATCTTACTCTACCCTCCTCTGCTGTACCCTACTCTACCATACTCAGCTGTACCCTCTTCCACTGTACCCTACTCTGCTGTACCCTCCTCCACTGTACCCTACTCTGCTGTACCCTACTCTACCATACTCAGCTGTACCCTCTTCCACTGTACCCTACTCTGCTGTACCCTCCTCCACTGTACCCTACTCTGCTGTACCCTACTCTACCATACTCCGCTGTACCCTCCTCCACTGTACCCTACTCTACCCTACTCTGCTGTACCCTCCTCCACTGTACCCTACTCTGCTTTACCCTACTCTACCATACTCCGCTGTACCCTCCTCCACTGTACCCTACTCTACCCTAATCTGCTGTACCCTACTCTGCTGTACCCTACTCTACCATACTCAGCTGTACCCTCCTCCACTGTACTCTGCTCTACCATACTCAGCTGTACCCTCCTCCACTGTACCCTACTCAGCTGTACCCTCCTCCACTGTACCCTACTCCACTGTACCCTACTCTACCCTACTCTGCTGTACCCTACTCTACCATACTCAGCTGTACCCTCCTCCACAGTACCCTACACCCCCGTGCCTTCCTCAGCTGTACCTTACTCTACTGTAGCCTACTCTGTTGTACCCTCTTCTACTGTATCTTACTCTGCTGTACCTTAGCTCATCAGCTGTACCCTACTGTACTGTAGCCTCCTCAGCTGTGACCTACTCCACTGTACCCTACTCTACCCTACTCTGCTGTACCTTACTTTACTGTACCCTCCTCAGCTGTATCCTACTCTACTGTACCCTCCTAAGCTGTACCTTACTCAGCACTACCCTACTTCACTGTACCCTCATCAGCTGTACCCTACTCCACTCTATCCTACTCTTACTGTGACCTACTTAGTTGTACCCTACTCTACTGTACCCTCCTAAGCTGTACCTTACTCAGCACTACCCTACTTCACTGTACCCTCATCAGCTGTACCCTACTCCACTCTATCCTACTCTTACTGTGACCTACTTAGTTGTACCCTACTCTACTGTACCTAACTCTACCATAACCTTCTCTGCTGTACCCTACAATACTGAATCCCACTCTACTGAAACATACTCAACTGTACCCTCCTCTATGGTGCCCTACTCTACTGTACACTCCTTAGCTGTATCATACTCTACTGTATCCTACACTACTATACACTCCTCAGCTGTACCCTACTCTACTGAATCCTAACTGGTTGAAACTGGTTCCAAACTGGCTAGTTGAAACAGGCTCTGGCTGGTGTCATCGGGCTTTAATTGGTTTTAACTGGTTCTGACTGGTTTGAATTGGTTCTTAGTGGTTTAAAAGAAGTAGTCAGTTTCATGTGAACTTTGACCCTGAAATCCTCTTGTTTCTGTGGTTCTAACTGGTTCCCACAGGTTTATCAATTGATGTGACCTTTGCCCTTTAACCCTCCTGCCTGTTCATTTTTCTGTTCATTCACTGTTTTTCTCCTCTTTTCTTTTCTCTTTCTTTGTGTTTGTTTTTTGTCGTTTTGTCCCCAGTCGTCCCAGTAAAGGTAGCCCTGCCCACGGAGAGAGCCCCCAGTCTTCTATTGAGGGTTAACCTGAACCGATTGTGTGTTTGTGTCTCTACTGAACTGTTCTACTGGTCTCTACTGATGCTGTGTTACTGTGAACGTTACTATAAAGTAATAATAATAATAATAATGATGACAATGATTATCAGCACATTAAGACTATAAAGTAAATATTACTGCAATACTGCGTGTATCGATGTGTAATGAAGCTGTCTGTCCAGGAGAGTGAGACAGGTCAGCTGCCTGTCTGTCTGCCTCCTCACACTGTCAAAACGACAGTGACAGAAATAGGTGATTAATCACATCAGGTTTATAAAGTACTGTAGAAACCTCCAGAGACGCTGTCGAAGTGAAGACCTCTGGATGTTCAGGCTTTCGTTCAGTTCCTCTTTTTTTCTGTCTTGTATGAAGCTCATGTTGTTTGTGCTGAAACGTTGCAACGCGAGAACTTTTCTTTACAGTGTAAAGTTTACTTATTGTTTTAACTTATGTATTGATTAATCTATTTATTGATTTATTTATTATCTGCGGTTCTTGTGAATATGGTGTTATCGTTAAGGAAATGTTTCCCACCAACCACATTTAGCATTTCTATAGCAGAGCTAACATCTCGTTCTAAATGGCTCTGACTTGGCCCAACTTGTTCTGATTTCTAACTTTTTCTGACTCCCATTTGGTTTTAAGAAATTCCAGCTGGTTCTGACTGGACCAACCTGTTCCAACTCGCTTCCACCGGCTCCATTCGGTTTTAATTTGATCTAAATGGTCAGTTTCCAGGCAGGTTACATCCGGTTCGAAATGGTTCCAGCTAATTCCGACTGGTTGTAACTTGTTTCATTTGGCTTTTACTGGTTATAAGATGTTCATACTGGTTCCAGCTGTTTGTAAATGGCTCTGACAGCTTCCAGTTGGTTTCAACTGGGTTTCAAACCCAAACTGCCAACAGCAACCATCTAATATTCACAATGTGGAGGCATCGGTAGCTTCACACTTTCTTTTTTGGGCCATTTCCCAATAATTTCTGTGGTGTATAACATATGTGCATTTGACTCTAGCACACCACATTTCCTTGCGAGTTTTTTACAAAGTCAACATTAATTAATTGGGTTAAATTGATTCTGAATGAAACAACTGAATCATGTCTTTTTCTCAGCTGATTTATTACCTCAGTCAAGTTTATGGTCTCAGTCGCTAGTTTCAGGTCCCATTTAGAGGAACATAGACCAGAAAGCAGGTGAGGCTTTAGGTCGCTACCATGGCGACCTGTCAATAAGTAAATTTTGATTTAAGCCTGTTTGTCGCTAGCCAAAATTAGCATTCCAGCTAACGTGAGTTACAGATGCACCTTGCTAACCAAGCTAGCTAGTTCTGCCCTCTCGTCCAAATATGGTCACGTCTGGTTCCAAAAAAACAAAATGGTGACAGCCAAATTGCCAAACTGGAAGCTTCAAAACACAAACCAGGAAACTCACATGGAAATGGTCAAAAAAAGTGTAAATGAAGATCAAGATTATCATATAATTAGGAAATAAAAACAGTTTTGTATGCGATGCTTTACTCGATTCCTCTGATGTCTTCATCTGAATATTTTACTAACGCGCTCCGAGCCGGAGCCTCATTTATAAAAGTGCTGTTTGGGTTGCTGAGATTTGATGCAAACGTTGGTCGCAGTCATCAGTCTGAGTATTAATTATTAATATGTGCAGGTTGTGTGTTTTTCTTCAGAGACACAAGCTGTTAGATTTTGTCTGACTGAACGTGATGAACTATAAATGCTGATCTATTTATTCTACCTATGTATGCTGTTCATGTCGTGGTGATTCTGTCGCGCTCCGAGCTGCGTTCAACACGACACACGCTGTGTCAGCAGAGACCGTCCTCGTGTACTCAGATTCATGTCAGCATGGCAGTTTAAGTGTTTATAAAACGTGTTGTATGAGTTAAATGTTCTTTAATATTCAGTAAAGTGTTGCACATGTCGCTCTGCAGCAGCGTGTTGAACGCCGCTCGGCCTCCCACACACACCTTTGATGGTGGCTAGTTCACTCTGTATGGTATTAATATAAATGTAATGTTTACAGGATATATGAAGATAAAAATGTACCATATATATGTGAAAAACATATATATAGATCTATGAAACTGAAATATGCAGACTGTGCTGTGTGTGTGTGTGTTACAGTGTGTGTAGTTGTGTTGTGAATCTTGGTGTCATGTGATCAGGACCAACAGAGACGTGTTGACATGAATAAAGTTTGTGTGGATGAAGACGACGAGTGTCCGCTCTTGTTTTTCACGGGAGACAAACTGTTTCAGTTCAGTTTCAGATGAATTGAACCAGTTTAATGTTTTACTGAAATCTCTTTCCATTAACCAACTCATATTCTCATTAACTAACTTATTAAGTAACTGATTCATTAACTGACCCGTTAACAAACTCGTTCACTTTCATACCAATTAATAAACTATAGGCAGGTCTCAATTAGAAGCCTGGTCTGAGTTTATATAGAATTTCATCAGTATATAAATTAGATTCTCCACAGTTCAATCATTTAGGTCATTTTACAGAAACAATGAGTGTAATTCATTTAGATTCACTGGTGTAGTCGGTCTCTCTGTGCTTGAGGTGGCCCAGACGTGCTGTCTCTCAGAGCTCGATCAAATGAATGATCCGTCTCATTTTTAGAAATAATCAATAGCCAATCTGGTTAAAATAAACAATTTAGTAGCAGCCTATTTCTTTTCTTTGCTGAGCGAGAGCTTTGTGCAAAAGGAAATAAAAGCCGGTGAGATTAGTGATTGAAGCAGCTGGTTATTCGATGAAGTTTTGAGGTATCCATACTGTACAAATTAGAGGTACTTGTACTTTATTTGAGTATTTTCTCTTTCTACTCCACCTCAGATATTTTTACTTTGTTTACGTGACAGCTTCAGTTACTTTACAAAGTCAGATTTTTACACACAAAACACATGAAGAGTTTATAAAATATTTCACATTCAACTCCCAACAGTTTGTACAGGTACAGCTGAAACTATTAGTCAGTTGACAAATTAATTGGCACCTATTTTAAGTTATTTTCATGTAAAAACATCTGGACACTCACAGTGTTACGGTGCAGAGCTGCCTCCAGCCAGCAGGTGGTGCTGCAGGATGACTGAATGACTGATGCCCTATTTCTGACAGCAGCAGCAGCCCCCTCACAGACAGACATGCTGACTGAATTCAGTTCAGCTGAGAAAGAGGAAGAAGAGAAAGAGGAAGGAAGAGACAGAAACACAGAGCGAGGGAGAGGCAGGAAGAAGGTAGAGAGACACTGACAGAGAGAGAGAGAGCTGTATACCATGAGCCCAGAGGATTAAACTGTTGCTCTGCTGATCGGACGGTACCGGCTGTCTGTCTGTCCACCTGCAGACATGTCTTCCCGGGCTGAGAGTAAAACAGGTAAGACCTCTCCTCCTCCCTCTGACTCATGTGCTGACCGCAGGCTAAAAACATTCATTTCCTGTTACTTCAGAGTTTGTTTGAATTTTAACTGACGCTAAGATGCTTTTATTTTTGTAGTTTGTGATGATGATGATGCTCCTCTTCCTCTACAGCCTCCCAGTTTGTGTCTCTCACCATGAAGCTGAAGGATAAGCTCCACCCGATCAGACGCTCTGAGCGAATCAAACAAACCCCGTCACAGAGAGTCAAACCACCTAATCTGAACCTGCATGAACCCACACTGCAACACAAGGTACACACATACACACACATACACACTGCAACACAAGGTACACACATACACTCTGTAACACAAGGTACACACATACACTGCAACACAAGGTACACACATACACTCTGCAACACAAGGTACACACATACACTCTGCAACACAAGGTACACACATACACTCTGCAACACAAGGTACACACATACACTCTGCAACACAAGGTACACACACATACACACATACACACACATACACTCTGTAACACAAGGTACACACATACACTCTGCAACACAAGGTACACACACATACACTCTGCAACACAAGGTACACACACATACACACACATACACTCTGCAACACAAGGTACACACATACACTCTGCAACACAAGGTACACACACATACACACATACACACACATACACTCTGTAACACAAGGTACACACATACACTCTGTAACACAAGGTACACACATACACTCTGCAACACAAGGTACACACACATACACACACATACACTCTGTAACACAAGGTACACACATACACTCTGCAACACAAGGTACACACACATACACACACATACACTCTGCAACACAAGGTACACACACATACACACACATACACTCTGCAACACAAGGTACACACATACACTCTGCAACACAAGGTACACACACATACACACATACACTCTGCAACACAAGGTACACACATACACTCTGCAACACAAGGTACACACACATACACACACATACACTCTGCAACACAAGGTACACACATACACACACATACACTCTGCAACACAAGGTACACACACACACACTGCAACACAAGGTACACACATACACACACATACACTCTGCAACACAAGGTACACACACACACACTGCAACACAAGGTACACACATACACACACATACACTCTGCAGCACAAGGTACACACACACACACACTCTGCAACACAAGGTACACACACACACTCTGCAACACAAGGTACACACATACACTCTGCAACACAAGGTACACACATACACTCTGCAACACAAAGTACACACATACACTCTGCAACACAAGGTACACACACACACACACACTGCAACACAAGGTACACACATACACTCTGCAACACAAGGTACACACATACACTGCAACACAAGGTACACACACATACACTGCAACACAAGGTACACACACATACACTCTGCAACACAAGGTACACACACATACACTGCAACACAAGGTACACACACACTGCAACACAAGGTACACTCACATACACACACACACACATACACACACTGCAACACAAGGTACACACACACTCTGCAACATAAGCACACACACATACACACACATACACTGCAACACAAGGTACACACACACACACACACATATACACTGCAACACAAGGTACACTCACATACACACACATACACAGACACACACTGCAACACAAGGTACACACACACACATATACACTGCAATACAAGGTACACACACACACACACACTGCAACACAAGGTACACACACATACACTGCAACACAAGGCACACACAAACACACACACTCTGCAACACAAGGTACACACACATACACTGCAACACAAGGTACACGCACACACACACACACTGCAACACAAGGTACACACACACACACACACACACTGCAACACAAGGTACACACACATACACTGCAACACAAGGTACACACACACATACACTGCAACACAAGGTACACACACACACACAGCCCTAATGACATCATCACCAGTCAGTGGACTCATGGCAAATGTTCATTAAAGTTGTGTGTGTCTGTGCGTGTCAGCCATGTGTGTTAGCGGACCAGCAGCGGGCCGTCGTCAGCTCTCTGCAGTACTTCAAGGCTCTGGTGGACAGACTGGGAGTGGACAAAGTGGCCCTGAACCAGTCCGTGGTGGGCGGTCTGCTGGGCGGTGCGTCTGGTGGAGTCCTGGAGGCGGTCCAGACGATGGTCCAGCTGGATTCACACCTGCACAACAGGTAGGTGACACACTTGTTGACCCCTGAAGATCAGTGAGTGTCCTGTCTGCTGACCCCATCTGTCCTCTCTGCAGTAAGACCGTCTCTTCCTGTCTCACTCGTCTGTACCAGTCTGTGGCTCAGCTGATTCGCTGGGCCGATCAGGTGATGCTGCAGGGCGCTGACCACGACAGCAAAGACTCCAAAGCCACCGTTACCACGGGGATCAGGGCCGTGCTGGACGGGGTCAAGGTGAGGACGGATGATAGACATCCTGTCTGTCTGGTACCCTGTTTTTATTATCCTGTCTCCTCCTGTCCCGTCAGTTCATCTGGCCCTGCTCTGCCTTGTTCTGTCCCTTCTTGTCCTTCCTTGTTGTTCCCTCCTGTCCTGGCAGAAATAATTGGTATTTTGTCTTATTGCCCTGTCCTGCCACGTCCTGTCCTAGTGAGATTTTGTTTCCTGTCCCACCCTGTATTGTGCCTTGTCTTCCCTGTCCTACCCTACTCATTAGATTGTCCTATTCTGTGATCTCATCTTTTTCCTCTTGTCTATTTCCTGTCCTGTCTCATTTTCTGTTCTCGTTTCGTTCTGTTATTATTTTCTTTATTGTCCTTTTTATCGACAAAGACACACAGTGAACATCCTGTCGTGTCTCACTCCGTCCTGTTTTGACTTATCATTTTGTTTTCGTCCACCAGAATCTTGTCGTCTCTTTACACACACACATTTGTTTTGTCAGGAGCTGGTTCGATTGGCTGCAGAGAGACAAGATGGCTCCGCCCCCTGGTCTCCTGTCCAATCACAGCCTGCCGTGGGACAGCCAGGTGGGTTTGACGAGCAGCAGACATCAGACAGGACTTCTACCTGCCAGATTTCAGGAGCTCCTGCAAAGGAGGAGGTGGAGGCGAAAGAGGAGGAGCAAACAGGTTTAGCTCCTCCCAAACCCCTGATGATCCCAGAGGTCCTCGCCCAGGTGCCCCCCCCACAGGGACTGAGGTGAGTCCCCCCCCCCCTTGTTAAAGACATTTTCAGGGTCTCAGCGTTTGCCGTGTGCTCAGGCAGATTCAGGTTAAGGACACGAAGGCGGAGCAGGTGCTGTGTCTCAGTACTTATTAACAGAAGGTGCTGCAGTCCAAACTCAACAAACTCAGCCACAGCAGTAAGGCAGCTACATGAACAGAGAATCCTCCCAGAGGTCTGGCAGGACGAAGAATAACTCCAAACGTGGTGGTTCAAACAGGCAAGCAGAAACACGACGAGAGGCGACCAGCGGAGCAGCAAGGACCGAACAGGAAAGACATTTAAAGACTGGCTAACGGGGAGGGTGGGAGAACAAACAGAACAAACGAAGGCCAGACCTCTCTTGAGGCCTAGCCGGAGGGCGGCGACAAAGGCACAGACCCACAGGAAGCCACGCAGGAGGCTGATGGATATGGCGCGACCTCTCCAGAGGTCGTTGGCGAGGGCGAAGCCCCTCAGGAGGCTGGCGATGAGGGCGGAACCCATCAGGAGGCTGGCGATGAGGGCGGAACCCATCAAGAGGCTAGGAACGAGAGACAAGGCTGGGAACCGGGAACCCGGATGCTGGCACGGAGGCAATCAACTGTGACTGGACTCCGGGAGCCGGATTTGGCTGATCCGCTGACAAGGATCTGCTAGCAGGAGTCGTTCGGTCCAACAGGTGTGATGGGTGTCGTCTCCACAGTGGGATCCAGATCAGCCACTTCAGAACGCTCCAACGTTTTCTCCTCCCCCGCTCTTTGGGGCTTTTCGGGTCGTTTTCCACAAATCCAGCACGTGTTCAGTCTCAGGCCAGTTTTCCTCTTGAGGCCACGTGCACAGATGTTGTCTACAGCCCCAGGGGCTGATGGGAAGTCATTAGTTCTGCAGGTGTTTGGTCAGCGTTCAAGATGACTTTTGCTGACTTGATAGTCAAATGTGAGCTGCAGGGGGATAAAACACTGCGGTCAGGTCGGACGCGGCTTCCTGTATAGTGCACGAGTTCAGGACGATGGCTGATCTTGTGGCTGAGTCATGAGACTGAAAAGCTTGAGGTTTTAAAGTCATGTGAGGTTTTGCAGCACCAGTGAAAGACGTTCTAACCAGCATGCAGTCAGAGTTGTGAAGTCAAACGCACACATTAACATGTGGACCTGATGGCGGCGCTGGAAAGTCAGAGGACCACCACAGCTCTAACAGTTCATCCTGCGGGGAACATGAAGGTCTGACATCTCATCACAGACTGAAGCTAAATACATCAAACTCAGGTGTGAGAAATACTGGACCAGATCTTTACAGGGACAGGTAATGCTGATAGGAGGCTGATAGGAGGACGCCACAGGGCCCCCCTCCCCCCTCCATAACGCCGCTCCTTCATCATTGTTCAGCTGTGAGTGAGTCTGAAGCTCAGGCTGAGGGGAGAGAGTTTTGGTCTGCGGATGAGAAGAGCAGAAATAGATCTGCGGATGAAACAGGAAGTAGAAAGACTAAAGCCCCCCCCCCCCTTTTTCTCTACACTTCCTGTCTCTGTGATAAGTGAGTGAGACAGAAGAAGAAGTGAGAGAGGCAGTTTCAGCTTCTCTCTGCTGCATTTCATGGAGATCAGCAACTTCGCAACATCAAGCTGTGAATTCCAGCAAGGTCATGTGACGCGGCGCCCTGCGGCTGCTGAACCGCCTCTCTGCTGTCCCGTGAAGAAGAACCCAGACAAAGATGGAGGCTGGACACTGCTCTCCATCTTTGTTTGGGAATCAAACGTCTCTTCAGCGCCCAGCACAGGGAATGTGTTACCGACAGGATGCTACCAGCTGTGGTTAGCATTGTTAGCATAAATAGCAGCCGTGGTTAGTGCTGTTTAGTCCTTTTTTTTTTTTTTTGCCCGTTAATCAGAAGCTCGGCGGTTCAATCCCCCGGCTCCTCCATGTCGAAGTGTCCTTGGGCAAGATACTGAACCCTGAATTGCCTCTGGCGGCTGTTCCACCAGTGTATGAGTGTGTGTGAATGTTAGTTTCTGTTTGAGCACTCAGTGTGTGACTGGTGAATGCAGATGTAGTGTAAAAGCGCTTTGAGTGGTCGAAAAGACTAGAAAGGCGCTATACAAGTACGGAACATTTTATGTAGCGCTGGAGGAAGTAGAAATATTACAAGTAAAAGTCCTGCATGCAGAAGTATTACATCCAAATATACTTAAAGCACTAAAATGATGTAGAATATATATGATATTATAGGATTATAATTACTGATGCATTCACAGTGGAGCTGGTTCCAAGTACCTTATACTGCTGTGTAGTTGTAGTAGTACATGATCATTTATTTAGTATCAATAATCTGAATCTGCAGAGTCACTGAAACTGTCAGATAAAGACGGTGCAGGAAGAAGTTCTACATTTCCTTCTGAGATGTGGTGGAATAGAAGTAGGAAGTAGCGCAGAGTGGAAAATACTCATGTAAAGTACAAGTACCTCCTAAAGTACAGTACTTGAGTAAATGTACTTTGTTGCTTTCCATCACTTCTCTTCACAAACAGAGCAGGTCACCTGAGTAACATCAAGGTGTCTGGTTCACCTGTAATCACACCCACAGTGACATCACTGTGCACTGGAGTAGCTGTGTTAACTTCCCCTTTACACACGATTTTAAGGTACTTGTACTTCACAAGTTCAAGTTCTTTATTGTCACTGTTGATGCACAACAGCTTCTGTTTGGTCTGTTTGCGCTGCTGATAGCTCTCCGGACACATTTCGAGTGGCCTTTTATTGTGGCCAGCCTAAGGCCTTTTATTGGCCTTTTATTGTGGCCAGCCTAAGGCCTTTTATTGGCCTTTTATTGTGGCCAGCCTAAGGCCTTTCTGTGCCCTGTGGTATTAAAAGGCATCTGCTGTTACCATAGTAACTACAGGTGTCTGATTCAGCTGCATAATAGCGTCAAAACCAGTTGATTAATGTCTCATGCCAGTCAGAGACAGATACATTCCAGTGCGGCCTGTCTAATAACAATAATGAAGCGAAAACATTCTCAAAACTTCTCATTTTGACATAAAAGGTTACTAACGCTGTTAGTAACTGAAGTCGAAAAGACTGCAATTTAATATAACAAGTAAGATAAATATAAATATGTTATTTTTGGAGGTTAAATAAATAAGTAACTTTTACTCTCAGTAAATTTTAAATGAGCTACTTTTTACTTGGGTAGATTTTTATACAACTAATTTTACTTTTAAGTAAAAGTTCATCAAAGTAAGAGTCCTTTTACTTAAGTAGAATATTTTTGTCACCTCTGATCTCGACAAAGGAGAAGTGCTCACTGACAGATTTTGACAGATGTGTGAACAATAATTGGTCTTTTGTGAACATAGAAAGAGTCTTAGATCTTTGAGTTCAGCTCAAAACAAAAGTGCTGCATTTATAACTTTGTTCAGTGTATTTCTATATTTCCTATAGAAGATTTCTTCTTGTTACCACGTGTGGCCTCCCTCGCAGTGAGGGACAGTGTTTGTTTGCTGAAATGTTTTGGTGTGAAAGTGTGACGTGAACTTCTGGTTGTGTCCTCGCTCAGGCCTCCAGCCCTGCCGCCTAAAAAACGCCTGTCCTCATCAGGCTCCGCCTCCTGCAGGGTCGCCGTAGTAGCACCAATGAGACGAGAGCCTGAAGTAGACAGGCAAGAGGTGGAACCGGTACAACAGGTACGCACGTGTGACCGCTCAGAAATACACACATGTTGTCATGGTAACAGTAACGCCTCCTCACTCGACGCCACATCAGAACCGAAGTCTTTAAACCAGATTCAAACTGGTTTCACCTGTTCACACATGTTTACTAATGAGTGTGATGTTGGTGTGTATGTGTGTGTGATGTTGGTGTGTATGTGTGTGTGTGATGTTGGTGTGTGTGTGTGTGTGTGTGTTGTGTGTGATGTTGGTGTGTGTGTGTGTGTGTGTTGTGTGTGATGTTGGTGTGTATGTGTGTGTGTGTGGTGTGTGATGTTGGTGTGTGTGTGTGTGGTGTGTGTTGTGTGTGATGTTGGTGTGTATGTG